AAGATCATTAGCAGGTTAATATTTAGCAAGATCTCTGCTATGAAAGTCTGAATACCATTGTCTTAAGTAGGGACGTCATAATAGCAATGTATCTAGTCGAATAGAAATAATCAACAATATACTAAATATTTACCACGAATAATTTACCTTAATTAGCAAGATCACTAGAAGACGCGGAAATAGGCCATTAGTGCGCGCGTCGTCCGTGTAATGCGCTACGAAATATACACCGATCATCATCATGATAAATTCTTGTTCACTCTACATGGCACTATACTTTTAGCATAAACAGCTCAACTCTTAAAAATCACCACCCCAGTACTCTGTACACTGGGTTAACCAGCAGCTCAATCATTCGGCCTGGTGTTGATCACGTGCAGGATTCTGTTACTATAAAGATCAAGGTAGAGTATATAACGAATCTAGGTCCTTCCCTAAGAATATCGCAGGCCAAAAAACTGCGCTATACCCCATATTCCCAAACGCCAGATACGCATACCAATTTCGCTCTTCATGGAAGGAAGACACCTAGAGGGCAGCGAGACGAGCGGACGCCTCCGCATCGGCTTCACCTTTCGGCTTCGAGGTTAATATTTCTGGATTACCTACTTGTCATATTCGGCAAGTTCTGGGGCACAACCGGCCAACACGTTCGGCCCGGTAGACACCCTTTTCATCCTCTTCTGGTACATCGTTCAAATTTCACCCGTTAGGCCTCGCGTAAACCTAGCTAGACTACGCACCTCATCTGACGCCAGCGTTCTCATCGCTGCGCTGCCATCATGCCGAAAGCCATGGTCGATGGAGAAGTGATCCTCGAAGAAGCCGATGCACCTGGCAGGATTGCTGCTCACAAGAGATGCCCCGCAAGCCTGCTACGAGCTACCGGCAAGCAACATCGCGGCTCCACTGGCGCCTTGTATGCCGGAGCATTGAAGAAAGTTTCAGCCGCCAGCCGGCTCCCGCCTCTACCCGCTGATCAGTGCCGGGTCCTCGTTTTCTCGGACGGAGGACTCAACGTCCGTAAGTCCCGCAAGATCAAATTCTTAGAATCACTACTACTCACAGCACGGCTGCCGCCAACCGCTGCCGATGAAGACATTGTGTGTACCAACGACACGAAAAATATCTTCGTTATAAGTACACCAAGTACCGTCCGCAATGGAGGATGGAGGAGGATTCTCTTGGAGGCGCCTTCACGTGCGCCGAGGTAAGGGCAGTCCTAACTGACCTCAATTGCCATTTGGTCCCGGGCCCCGGCGGCATACAAAAAACTTCTGAAAAATTTTGAAGAAGCAGACATCGAACTCTTCACGGAACACATTACCAAGATCTGGCAAACAGGCCACGTCCCCCCGAGTGGCTTGAGCCGTCTGTCATACTAATCCCCAAGCCGGAAAAACCCCTAGCCATAAGCTCAGTTCGCCCTATCTCGCTCACGTCCTCACGTCCTGTGTGGGTGAAGGGGCTGAGCAGGTCATCCTCGAATGAGTCGCCAAATTTGTCGATGAGCGACAAATACTACCATTCAACCAAATTGGTTTTCGCCCGTCTATGTTCCCACAGGGCGTCATGATGATGCTAAAACACGAGCTTTTGGACAAAGTCACCAGAGACACGAGAGCTATCTTAGCACTCGATCTTGAGAAAGTGTTCGACCGAGTAAAGCACTCACACATTCTTGTCTATATTAAGGAGGCCGGACTAGGAACGAACTTTTATAAATATATTAGCTTGTTTCTTCGTGACGGGAAAGCTACCTTGCAGCTAGGCTCATTGGGCTCACAGCAGTTCAACTTAGGGCCTTGAGGCACACCCTAGGAGCTGTATTTATTCAATCTATCCATGTGCACACTTTCGCGGCAACTTTCACAAATAACCGGCATCGGGCATGCCTTTCACGCCGATGACATTACAATTTGGTGTACGGGGGCTAATGACGGGAACATCGAAGAAAGACTGCAAGATGCAGTTAACACGGTACAAGCGTTTCTATACGGAAGCCTGGTCTCTCCATATCGGCATAAAAATCGGAGTTATTACTTTATCGCCCAAATACAAGGCACGTAAAGACGTTTACTCAGTAATTGACCTTCATACGGCCGACGGTTCACCCATCCCAACGGTAGGGCAGGTAGGAATTTTGGGCGTGAATATAGAAGCCAACGGAATAACGCTGCCAGCGTGATGCGCTTCTCGAAAAAAAAAAGCCGAAGCAATGGCAAAGCTCATCAATAGAGTGGCCAACAAACGTGGCGGACTGTCTCAGAAAAATTTCCGAATACTTTTCCACGCGTTTCTTACGATTCACATTACCTACGTAGCCCCCATCGACCTGCGGCCTAAAAGGACGAGAACCGTCTGGACGTTATCATTCGTCGGTGTGTTAAACAGGTCATCAGGTTACCAGCAAACACCCCCACGGTAAAGCTAAATGAGCTAGGCATACACAAAACCTTCAACGAAATTGTCGAAGCACAGAAATTATGCCAGCTTGTAAGGCTGTTTTCCGCTGAGGCTGGGCGAGGATTATCGGCACACCGTGGGCTCAATTCTCCCGTTACCTAACAACGGTAGTGCCAGCTCCCCAAGGAGTTAGGCGCTAAACTGACAGTATCCCCGATACCTCGGAGCATGCACCCCACGCTTGAAGTGGGGACAAAGCAGGCACGGGCGCGAGCTGTACTCAGTACTGCCGCCGCTATGGAGGATCACGTGGCCTTCGTAGATGCAGCGCAGTACAGAAACTCGGATAACTTTGTGTCTGTTGTTAGCACACCTAAAGGCAACCATTTGTCGTCACCGAGTTTGTTACACACGAACGTTGATAGCGCTGAACAGGTTGCGGTAGCACTAGCTCTCGCTACCTCCAAGCGCACAGCTATCTATACTCGCAAGCAACCACCCACCCCTTCTTGACGGGTTCGGAATGCCATGAAGCTGCACGAGTTCTCTCTGCTGCTGGTTTTACAGACAAAAAGCATATTATTCAGTTTGTGGCACACGTTTGCGGACACGTCTATGGAACCATCCTTAATGCCAACGAGTTGGCGCACTCCCGGACGCGAGGTCTGACATTTCACGCCAGATTGAGCCACTCGTAGGCAGAGGACACGCGTTGGTATTACCGAGATTCACTCCTAACTTTTCAAGAAATTGGTAAGCACTATCAATTGGAACGGCGGACGTTCCCCCTCCCGCGTCCAACTTTAAACAGAGCTCATTCTATCACGTTATGTCAACTACAGTCTGAGGCATACGTTTCTCCCCTGAAGTTCTCTAAATATATAGACGGTATACAGCCAGGCCACCCTCGCTGTGATAACCCGCGTTGCACATTGCAACACATGCTGTGACAGTGTCTTGCACAGCACGAGAGCTCCGGTTCTCCTTGAACGGAGTAGGAATGGCGATCCTTCCTCAGAAGTAACGAGAAGGAAGACCAGCTACGGGGTATCCAGAGAGCCCACGACATGGCCGAGGAGATGCATCTCCCCGTCCCGTCGTAAGTGCGGCCCGCGGATGTCGCGCCCGAAGGAGGAGTGAGCGTCGTCTCCGGATCAAATAATGTTCTTTGCCCGCCTGCCTGCCTGCCTGTCTTCATGCAAACTGCGACATACTTCAAACAATGTGGGATGAACTTCGCGGCCTTCTTTACCCACATGGTCACCTAGTGGTAAGGCACTCGGCTGCTGACCCGCAGGTCGCGGGATGAAATCGCGGTGGTAACGGCCGCATTTTCGATAGCGGTTAAAATGCTTGAGGCCCATGGGCTTAAAGAAGCCCCGGTGAAATATATTTCAGGAATACTCCAATACGGCGTCTCTCATGATCATATGGTGAATGTGGGACGTAAAACCATAACAATTAAAATACATCACGCTCCCCTTGGGGTATCGGAGTGGTGGTGGCCACCCCTTCTGCCTCCTTTGTGTGCAGCCTCTGCCTTTCGCAATTTGCTTTCATCCATAAAGTTTCCTGATATTAACTACAGGGAAGTCTGTCGCTGCGATCGTTCAGCGACCATGGGAAGGATGGGTAGTACACACATTTGCCCAATCTTCCTACTTGCGGGCGGCGAATCGTAGTTGCGGCTTCGTTTATTGCAGTGTTTCGGTTTTGTTTTAAAAGAAAGATTCAACCCTTTTGAACTTCATGACCCGATTTGAAAAAGTAAGTCGAAACGAATAAGTTGCTCAAATATTTGCTAATATTTGTTTCACGAGAAAACAGCTCCAAGCCACACGAGCACACACAGAGCCAAAAGCAGGCCAGAAGTACAAATATTGGACAAGTGTGTGCTACCCATCATTCCCATGCTCGTTCAAGCGCCGTGTGTGTCAGCTCCCATACACACTGGCGCCATAGTTCTTTCTAGTGTATATTAGGAAACTGTGTGCGTTCACTGAAGCGCCATCACCATAGCCTGGATCAAACCCGTGATCACTCACGTATTTTAGATGCGAAACTGCTTTGGTCGAGCTCAACGTGGTGTGCGTGGCCACCCTTGCTACGCATGCACAACAGTTGTCCCAACCACTGCCAGAACGTGCTCACGCGCTAGCGCGTGTAGGACTGTGTAAATTCTGGGTAACATTCTGTAGCCTCTGCCCCTTACACTCTTTCAGCAATCATGGGATGGTGTCGGGGAACGAGATTCCGCAGAAGCGCGATAAACCAACGTTTCGTATTTTTGCCAGAACGCGCTGACACGCTCTAGCGCGTTCGGGCGTGCAGAAGTGGTTGTGTAGGAGGCTGTGGCCTCTTCCTTTCAGGCTCTATCACATATCACGTGACGGTGTAGGGGAACTAAATTCTGCAAACGCGCGACGAACGTAAGAGCTCCCGCGTGGGGTGGCTAACAACCCACATGGGATGCTCCAACAAGAGTTCGAGACGAGTAACAGCAGCCCAAACTACAGTGAATAAGCAAGAACGCGTTAACATCGGGCAAGATGCTCATGATTAACCGAACCCACGCACTGCTTCGCATGCTTTTCTTTAGTGGAAGATGGTGTAAATTTTTATTTGTAGAGTACAGGCGTCTTCGGCACTTACCAACCGTAAAAGTTGACCAAGAGCTTTCGACTGGCGTACCGCGCAGCGATCTGGACGACGCACCAGGAGTAAAACAGATGCATGTCACGTTCACCCCGCTCTCTCCACAGTTCAAGGAAGGCCGTTACATAGCCTGGCTTCTTTGTCAGGAAAATCAAGGGTTTCGACGTGCCTCCGTAAAGGTCCAGCTCGGCAACCCAGCGTTCCTTGCTTAGTTCCGGCACTAAGCCGAAAACGTCGACTGATTCGTGTGCACCAGAGCGTGTGGGAAGGTGCAACGCTCCCGACAGTTTCCCCATGTACTTGCTTTCCAGTTTCACGTGGTCGGCGAATGTGACGGTGCTTTCCGCCGATTTCGCCGTGGCACCACCGAAGCCTCGCCTGCGTAAAAAGTCTCGCCTCTGAATAAACATTCATGTCCGTCTTTACTTATGCGTATGAGAAAAAGGCACGTGACAGCAAGTTATTTTCTAGCAAAGATGATATTGCCTCACAAGTGTCATTGGTAATTTAGATGAGCAAATGATAAAAAAAGAGACAAGGCACACGTGAGTTCCTGGGAATGCGACCCACAAAAGTGCACTCTTAACATGTGAGCCGTTTTTGGACATTTGATGCGCTCTCGATTTTTGACTCGTCAGTGATCAGCCATTTGCAACACGACGATCTGAAATCATATTCATGGTACCAAGGGGACTTCCTATGTAATATTGTCGCATCTGATTGTAACTTCGATATGAACACATCATTAGCGTTGCTGCCTGTTACTGAAGTGTTGCCCTCAGAAGTACGCGGATCATCATCATCGTGAGCAGCAGTAGCGGCAGGACTACGCCCACTGCAGGGCAAAGTCCTCTCCCATGTTTCGCCAATCGATCCGGTCCTGTGCTTCCAGCTGCCACGTTACACCTGCCAACTTCTTAATCTCATCTGCCCACGTAATTTTCTGTTTCCCGTCGTGCATTTGCCTTCTCTGGGAATCTAGTCAGTTAACCTTGATAACCTGCGGTTACCCTGCCTACGCGCTACGGGCCAGCTGATCTCCATTTCATCTTGATTTAAGCTACGCTATCCTCAGCCCCAGTTGGTTCCCTGAGCCCTTCTACACTTTTACTGTCTCTTAAGGTTACACCTATCATTTTGTTGTACATCACTCGCTGCATCGTCCTCATTATAAGTTGTACCCTATTTCCATGTATCTGCTACGCAGGTAAAGGCTGTTAAGATGCAGCCGTTGTATACTCTTATAAGGGGCAGTGGTAGACTGCCCTTCATTGTTCGAGAATACTTGCCGAATGGGCTCGACGCCATCCTTATTCTTCTAAATATTTGACTCTCATGCTTCAGCTCCGAGAGTGATACCTGTCCTAAGTCAACATATTCTTTTCCAACAATTAGCTTTTGACAATTCGGACCCATCCCACATACTTATTACACTTCCCTAAGGCCCTATACGCAATGCTCTTATTCTTGTCCCCTTTAGCAGATTTTTTATTACATACATGATCAATAACTCCGTTAGGTGATCTTTGGCCTGAAATGCTCTTGTGCCATTAAAACCCGCAACCATCATCATCTTTTACAACTTCCAGTGTCTCGTCACCTATGCCGAGAGCGTTGCACATTACCGCAGGTTGATGCATAACTTTAGTAAGCACGCTGATGATGGTCCTATTGCCGACATGAAAAAAAAATGCAGTTGATTTATTTTCTTCTACATGTTCTCTCACACAATCTTCATGGCGCGCTATAACGACGATAAAGTATGATTGTTTCTTACTGTTTTTATCCTCGTCGTCTTTTTTGTCATAAACTACGCAAGTACATATTGCATGGTTGTGACAAATAAAGCATGTTGTAAGTAAGCAGTGCGTCTTAATTTTTTTCACAGATTTTCTGTTTTTTGCTGATTTTACGTTAAGTTCAATACTAATAACTTCACTTTCCGAAAAGATTTCTTCGGCAAATAGGAGCGCAGACTGGTTCGGCATAACTAATTGTGGCGTGAAATAAATATCGTGAAAAGGCGTGCAGAAAAAATAAAGCGATGGTTTTTACTTCTTTGTTTCTTTTATTACTGTGAGAGCGCTCTCTGATAAAACGTATTTCCAATGAAGCTGTTGTCAAAAGCGAGATTGGCGAGTGCACTACTCACCTGAGTGTCTCGAAGTACAACTGGGTGGCTCGAACACTGTTGGCCATCCTCAGGTGTTTCTCTACGATGCGTTGAAATTCTCGTAGTGGATCTAATGTGACGAACGTGACGTTTGGGCCGTGTTCAATGGATGCGTGGAGCACAGCGCTCCACCGCAGCTTCAGCGACGCATGTAGCAATGTACGAAGAAGGTCGATTGAGTCCCCGTCTTTGGGAATACGTGGCCACACAACACCCGCTTGAAGCAGAGCGGACTTCACCTTGGATAAGATAACGCGCCGCGGAAAAGAACAGGTGACCAACCTTTCACGAATGAGACGAGACTGTGCGAACAGATCAGCTTTCCTCGCGTCCGTTAAGGCTCGCTCATGGATGCGACCAGCAAGGGTCACGTGATCAAGTTATTCGCAAGGCAACGAGTAAGCATATGGTCGAAAATGGCCGTTTTGGTCGCAAAAGAGACTGCTTCGGCTCAATCGCTTGCTGCTGTTTTTTTTTATTTGCATGACTGCAGTAGGAAGCCCCCAATTCAATCAGATACTCAGAAAAAAAAAACACGTCAGAATATTTTACGAGCTAACGGCAATGTGGCCTGACGTAAATTTTGAGAGGCGACGGGCAGAGGTCGCAAGCTGGTGTGAATGGTATAGCATACAGGTTTCCAGTCCCAAACGGCCGCATGAATGGCAATGATCGCAGGTATTAATCAGCTTTTATGAAGAGAGCTCTTTAGGCTATGAAGTTTGCAAGTGCATGCTCTTAATAAGGTCTAGAATCATCTGTCTGGATTCGGCAGCATATTACAAAATACAATCTACACTCATAGGCATCAGTGTTTCACACAAGGATAATTTGCGTGGGTGTTCTATTCAATCACCTACCTATAGCCTACCTTCTACCAAGTGTGTCTATGACCAAGCGACCACATATCGGTATACCAACACCCAAGTCATGATGTCACTGGAGGATCCCAACATATTACGTCAAGTTGGCTGACGTCAGGCCGGGTAATCTCACATGTTCTGGCGTCCACTGACACACGATTGTGCCGGCATAAAACTATCTAACTGTGGAGCTGTTTAAGCTTGCGGAAACTGTTGTTGTCCTGCATTAAAAGACCGAGGAGGAGCGGGCACGTTAAGAGAGAATCTCAGCCTCGCATTACGAAGGCTGGCAAAGGCAAGAGGCACAGTATGGTATATTTATTTATTTATTATTTATTTATAATACCCTCAGGGCCAAATGGCATTACAGAGGGGAGTGGATTACATTGAATAACACATGGTACATGGTGGGGAGGGAAAAATACAGCGTTAGTACGAATATAAGCAAAAGTCAGCGTACAGACAAAAATACATTAAAATACATTAAAATACATTAAATATCACAGGTGTGGGAAAGAAAGTGAGGGTGAGGAGGACTAATGTAAGAATAAAGTGGAGGGAAGAAAAGTCAGGGCGTGGCTTTGTATAGTTTAGCAAGGGAAGCGAAACCTAACTGAGGTTTATGACTGGTATATGGATGAGGAAAAGGGGAAAACGAGGATGTCAGGGAACAAAGCGATGCATAGTGTTGTACAGTAGAGTGTGAGCGAGAAAGGAGGGTGAGAAATAAATACGGAGGCTAAGGCCCCCAGTTCTGCGGTTCCCTTGGTTTCGGCATCCCTAGTGCATAGAATCTGCAATGCTTTTGGAGCACTGTGTGTTGATGCCAACGCCGACGTTCATTTTTCACATTTCATGAGGCACCTATGCCTTTCGCATCAAAAAGTCGCAAACGTGATAAGAAAGGTGATAGTGCTACCTTCGGTAGCTCGTCCATATCTCCTCGGCGCACTGCGTCACAACTGCGGTAGAAAGCAGCCGCCCTCTGGATCGGTTTCTGCGCCTTGCGCGGCACGGGCACCGAACGCAGCAGGTAGGACATGCGGCGGAGCTCGGAGAGAAACGCCGACTCGCGCACAGATAACCTGCTGTGGCGGCGCCAGCCGTCGCACACGAAACGCGTGAAGCATTCGCACGGGTTCACTGTGGAGTTCATGGAGGCCACCAGGCGTTGCGCGTACTCGCGGCACGGCTCCGTGCGACACACGGCGGCCGGCTCTCGCAGCCCATTGAGGCGACCTCCGAGTACGCCGAGTAACAGAAGCAAGACGCCTGCCACCACCAGAACGAGCAGAGAGCACAGTATGACGGCCACTGGTTGGTTCCTGAAGAAAGCCTGCGGATTTATAACATAAGACGTCCTGTGTCATTTCTGGTCATGATATCAGTTGATCGGTTGGAGAACTTTGCTAAATTTTGTTGGCCTGAACCCCGTTGCTTGCGGCCGCTGCTAGGCCTCTAGAATCTTTTTGTGGGGGCTGGACAGGGCCGCCTTCTTCCCCGTCACTACTAAAACCATTCAAGATATCTGCTTCGAGTGTAACGTATAGCATTCCCAACCAGCAGTTTGGTCAGTGTTTTGCTCATTCAGTATTGCGTAGCCTCCCTATTCGATTTATACAGTACTTCAATTTTATACAGTGGTGAAGGCATGATAACGTTTGTAAGTAGCGCGACGTTGCCTCTGCGTCTAGAGGTGACCTCGAGTATAGAGTCTAGAGGTGACCTCAAGTGGGCTGACACTGGTTAGGGGTGGGCACGTGTTCGCACTCTTGTAAAAGGAAGAAAGTGGGATATAACTAAGAAGTGGAGAAAGGGAACTACGAGGGCCGGTAAACGTGCACACTGCATCCTTTCACAATATTTTTCTATCAGTGCTCGAACTCACTTGAAACCATTGCGCGCTAACAGTTTTGCTACTCTATAGCAGACTGTAAAAAATATGTGCAATAAAATCTGTTTATAGTGACCCACAGCATTGTCCCTATAAAATGGGGTTAACACTCTTTGGGACCCGATTGAATGTTACTATCTATCTATCTATCTATCTATCTATCTATCTATCTATCTATCTATCTATCTATCTATCTATCTATCTATCTATCTATCTATCTATCTATCTATCTATCTATCTATCTATCTATCTATCTATCTATCTATCTATCTATCTATCTATCTATCTATCTATCTATCTATCTATCTATCTATCTATCTATCTATCTATCTATCTATCTATCTATCTATCTAGCTATCTATCGAAACAGTCATGTCTACCAAGTAGATTTGCCCCGCCGCGGTAGTCAAGAGGCTGAGGTACTCGGCTGCTGACCCACGGGTTGAGGGATCGAACCCCGGCTTCGGCGGTTGCATTTTCGAAGGAGGCGATAATCCTAGAGGCCTGTGTGCTCAGATACGGGGGCACAATAAACGGCCCCAGGTGGTCGAAATTTCTGGATACCTTTCCTACGGCATCTCTCATAATCAAATGGTGGCTTTGGGACGTTAAACCTCATATATATGTCAGCCAGGTAGAATTCAAATATTCTCGTAACACTCTTGATAAATTCTATAACTTTTTTTGTTTAGTATCCTTTGAAAACAGTCCGCTTAAAATTCTTTTAAACTACGCCACACAACATTTGCTACAGAACATGTGAAAAAACCAAGCAATGTCACGCACCTTTACGCCCACGTTTTTCTCAGTGAAGAATCTTTCCGTCGAGCTTGAAATGGTATTCAAAGGGCTGCGCAGGCTGCGGAATGGCTCCCAACCTTGAGATGCACCATTGTGTAGTTTCGCGGCATGGAACGGCGGCTTGCGCCACCACGTCGAGGTCCTCAAAGGTTGCGAAACCTGGTCACGCGATGACTCGAAGGTGAGTGGTAGGAAGTCGGAGTTCTTGGCTTTTCGTTTCTTCTTCATCCACGGAGGATTGAATGTGCGATGCAGCTTCGTCTGCGGCGTCGGTAAGTCGCTTGGAGATGCGGAACCAGCAGTGGACATACGGGAGCACTCCGAACCATTTTCGGAGACGCTGGTCCGCTCCGGGGACACGTTGGGACGCGGAGGCACTGGAGAAGATCTCAGCGTTGTCGAGGCGTTCTCAGCAACGGATGCTCTTCTAGAACTTTCGCCCACCACCTGAGGCACAAAAAAGTCTTTGTCAGAGTCAGGAGGACTTCTGTTGGCAGGAGTTGGAAATCCTGTGGAGCTAGTATTTGGGTCAGAGTCTCTGCCTTCCTTTACCGGGATTTGCGCGTTGGTGCTCTGGTCTTGGTCTGCCAATCTTTGGTCCCAGCTGGAGAACGGTGGCGTAGCGAGTGATTGAACTTTCCGCGAAGCATCGATGTCTATCTCGTGGTTTGCTTCCATGCTCGGCACAGCACCGCCATTGAAGTTGCGCTGATGCGGTTGCTGTTCAACCTGGTCCGACATAAATGCCGTTCGCGTACCGTGGGCCGCTATACTTATTCCCTCCCGCAACGCGCTCGACGACGTTGAATTGATGGGTGTCTTCGACGTCTCACGTTGCCAAGTCATTGAAGGCCTGCTTTTCAAAGATTCTTTCGGTTCCAGACGCCCGCTTGTTTTGGAAATCGCTTGTGTCCTGTGAACCTGCATCTGCAAGAAGGAGAGAACTCAATGCAATAGTGAACATCTTAAGGTTTCTGAGAGGTACAAGTGGTGTCATATGAAACCCGAACAGCGGCAAGCAGTCGTTATGGTATAGCGCGCGCTTCCAAGCATGACGTTTGACAGGCGCATGCATACGGTTTGACTGCAATGTGAGCATGCCCGCCTGTCCACGGTGATCGCAAATCGTTCAGCTTTTCTACGCACTGCTGTCTTATGAGTCAGTGACACTTACGCAGGCGTACCCAGTGACGCAGGCAATGGACTCTCAGTTGCTGCAGCTTTCTTAAGTTTTGGTCTTCAGTTTCAATAATTACAGGATTGGCTATGTTTTACTTGATTATCGGCGTTGCTCTTTCCTTGCGAAGCACACAAGTGCTGTCATCGTACTGTGTTCATGCCGATACAACGCCGATATGCGAACTAAATCTCTTTTCTAATAAATTTTATTTCTAGCCATAATCACACTCATTCGCTCATTATTCTACTTTTTTCTGTCGATGGTTTTATTTGTTTGCATACGAAGTCTTATTGCACTAAGAACTGTCACAAGTGATAAAGAATTATTTTGAAATGATCATCAACGTTTGAGATCAATATATCCATCAAGCGCAGTGCCTCCTGAATGCTATGCACGTTTTTTTTACCGCACGGAAAAGGTGCATTTGGACAAGTTGCTATCTTGTTCGCAAAAAGAACCTTTCGCTAAATTTGTATAGCGTGAAAT